GGGACATCTAGCTCAATTTGCATAACATAGTTTATAAAGAAAATGTTCTACATCCAATTGTGGTAAGTAGCATCTGGGGTCTTAAAAGCCTGTGAGTGGTCATCTAAGATACATCTACTGGTCCCATCCTGGCTGGAGCAAAGGAGAATGAAGAAAACCAAAGACACAAGCCTCCACCAGACTGAGTCCAACACAACTAGACGGTGCCCCACTACCACCACTGACTGCTCTGACAGGGATCACAGTAGAGGGTCCCGGACAGGACAGGAGAAAAATACAGAACAAAATTCAAATTAAAAAAAAAAAAAAAAGACCAGACATACCGGTCTGATGGAGACTGGAGAAACCTCAAGAGCATGGCCCCGGACACCCTTTTAACTCGATACTGAAGTCACTCCCAAAGCTCACCCTCCAGAAAGACTAGACAGGTCTATAAAACAACAACACACGTAGTTTAACCACGTATATGAAACTAAATGGGCACACCAGCCCAAAAGCGAAGACGAGAAGGCAGGATTGGACAGGAAAACTGGATGAATGGAAATGGGGAAACCTGGGTGGAGAAGGGGAGAGTATTGACACATCACAGGGTTGGCAACCAATGTCACAAAACAACTTGTGCATTAATTGTTTAATAAGAAATTAATTTGCTGTGTAAACTTTCACCTAAAGCACAATAAAAAAAAGAGAAAATGACTCACAAACTGCAGGGAAAGGGCCATCTTTAGTCTAGAAGGAAACAGGATACAAACACAAGGGCAAGGTCCAGGAGAGGTCTTGGCACAGGGCTTCCATGTCCCTCCCGAGAGCAGAATGCTCACTTTCTCCAACCCTGAAGCTCCAGTGAGCGCTGTCTTCCATAGACTTTTATTGGCCTCACCACATGGTCTACAGAGGTTTAGTGAATATTGGGCCCCCAGGTGATCCCTTTCGGTCGGGTCAGCCTCCATTCACTGGCCTCAGGTATGGTCCAACTCCCAGGAACCAAGACCAAAGATCAAATTGTTTACTGCAAAGGGATTCCATACCTTGCACTAATCAATAAAGGGAAACATGTGCCCAGCTGCATTTCAAAATTACTATGGACCAGTGATTGCTGTATCTATTGTGTCTGTCCCACCACCGTATGTTCAGTGGGGCAGATAACTTAACAGGTGTTCAGATAAAGAGACCCTGCACCTGAGGAACTTTGTCTGCACCTGGTATTGATTTAGATGATGAGATCGGGACCTCAAGCCTGAGCCTCATGCTGTAATGGGACGAGTCTTTTGGGAAGTTCTACGCACTTGGGAGGAATATAATTTGTGATCGGAGAGCAGACTGTGGCAGTTTTAAAACATGGCCCCAGAACTCTTTGATTGTCCTCCTTTAGAATGGTGGGAGTCTGTGTTCCCTCTGGGAGCCCTAGTGGTGCAGTGATTAAGCACTCGGCTGATAACCAAAAGGTCAACAGTTTGAACCCACCAGCTGCTCCATGGGAGAAAGACATGGCAGTCTGCTTCTGTAAAGATTACAGCTTTGGAAGCTGTATGGGGGCAGTTCTACTCTGTCCTATAGGGTTGCTATGAGTTGGAATTGACTTGAGGGCAATGGATCAACAGGTCAACGAGTGTTCCCTCCTCTTGAATCTGGGATGGTAACCACTTGATGAACAGCATTTGGTGGAGGGGACTGTGTACCAGTTTCTGAGCCCAGGCCTTAAGAAACTTGTAGCTTCCATTTCCTGTCTCTTGGAACACTGTGGAAGACAGGATAATGCGCCTCGGAAGACAGGCCTGGTGATCTGCTTCCTAAAGGTTACAGCCTTGAAAACCCTATGGCATTCTACTCTGCACACGAGTCGGAATCGACTTGACGGCAGCTAATAAAAGCGATCGCTATTATCTACAAGACAGGTATTATTCACATTTCACGGTTGAAGAACATCATCTTTTTTAAAAATGACTGATTACTACTTGAGGTCATGGAACCAGTAACTGGCAGGGGGTGGTTTGAACCAGGGTCTGACTACTAAGCCAGGGCTCTTTCCGTCACATCCTCGGGATTCAGAATACCTTAACCAGGACTTCAGAGCTCAAGCCTCAGACCCCAACCATTCCCTGGTTCAAGAGACCACCTGGTGATGACTAATACTACAGACAGTAGACATGAGTGATCTGCATTTCGCCTCCTCCTCCTGCCCACGCATCATCTCGTGTCTGGACAAGTGTTGACCAAATCAGGCCATCACTGAAGATCCTTTATGGTGAAAAGAACCACCGTCAGGTACTTTTTATGTCACAATGCTTGTATTTTAGGTTTAATGTAAACATATCTAAGAATCCATCTCTGAAGAAATACAACCAGAATGTTTCTTAGAAGCGAGGATGGTGAGACTTCAGCTCACTTCCTTTGGGCACATCATCAGGAAAGGCCAATTGCTAGAAAAGGACATTGTTTGGTAAAGTAGAAGGCCAACGGAAATGAGCAAACCCTCAGTGAGATGGACTGACACAACAACTGCAACAATGAGCTGAAACATACCAACAACCATGAAGATGGCACAGAACTGGACATTTCATTGTTAAACATAAGGTCGCCATGAGTTGGAGCTGATTTGTAACATTTTGACTATGCAAAGGCATTCGAATGCGTGGATCACAATAAATTACGGATAACATTATGAATGGGAATTCCAGAACACTTAATTGTGCTCATGAGGAACCTGTACTCAGACCAAGAAACAGTTATCCGAATAGAACAAGGGGATGCTTCGTGGTTCAAATTTAAGAAAGGTGTGCGTCAGGGCTGTATCCTTTCACCATACTTATTCAAACTGTATGCTAAGCAAATAATCCAAGAAGCTGGACTATATGAAGAATGGGGCATCAGGATTGGAGGAAGACTCATTAACAACCTGCATTATGCAGATGACACAACCTTGCTTGTTGAAAGTGAAGAGGGCTTGAAGCACTTACTGATGAAGATCAAGGACTACAGCCTTCAGTATGGATTACACCTCAACATAAATCCTCACAACTGGACCAATAAGCAACATCATGATAAACGGAGAAAGGACTGAAGTTGTCAAGGATTTCATTTTACCTGGATCCACAATCAACGCCCATGGAAGCAGCAGTCAAGAAATCAAGACGTATTGCATTGGGCAAATCTGCTGCAAAAGACCTCTTTAAAGTGTTAAAACGCAAAGATGTGACTTTAAGGACTAATGTGTGTCTAACCCAAGCCATAATGTTTTCAATCGCCTAATATGCATGCAAAAGCGGGACAAGGAATAAGAAAGACCGAAGAATTCACACCTTTGAATTATGTGTTGGCGAAGAATACTGAATATACATTCCATGGACTGCCAGAGAATGAACAAGTCTGTCTTGGAAGAAGTACAGACAGAATGCTCCTTAGAAGCAAGGATGGCAAGACTTTCTCTTACGTACTTTGAACATGTTATCAGGAGGGACCAATCCCTGGAGAAGGACATCATGCTTGGTAAGGTAGAGGGTCAGTGAAAGAGGGGAAGAGCCTCAATAAAATGGACTGACACAGTCGCTGCGACAACGGGCTCAAGCATAACGACGACTGTGCGGATGGCACAGGACTGGGCAGTGTTTCATTCTGTTGTAGATAGGGTCACTATGAGTTGGAACTGACTCAGTTGCACCTAATAACAACAACCTTTTTATCTGAAGGTAAAATACTGTCTTCGTAAGGTCTTTGAAGGGTAGAGTAGCCTTCTCTAAAAAAGTAGCCTTAGTTATTTCAACAGTTAACTCAAATGCTAATATGCTGATAAACCAGTTGCCACTGAATCGATTCTGACTCATGAAGTTTGCATTAACAAAACCCACGGGAAAGTTATTGAAAATACTTTATTTAAATGTTGAGAAAAAAGCTACAAATACTTAAAAATGATTAAAAGTTCTTAAGTTAAACAAATGCTAAAACCCCCCATAATTTACACAATGATAGAAATTTAAAGGGATGTAAACACACAGGAAAACATAAAATACGTTCAGTTGGTCCTCTCACCTAACACAACTATTATAAAAACAAGATCTATAGTAAGTACCTCATTTGGATTAAAGGCACAGGACAGAATCATTCCTTTATATCCAGTCATCTCACACAAATCAGCTAGCTTCCTGCTATTTCTGCCACGGAAGAGTAATTAATTTACATTATTGGGGGGGGGTACTGTGCATTTATAATTAAAGTTTGCCAAATTTTGACACCATTCCTTTATTCAAAGATTCAAGCAATTAACATTTCAAAAGTTACTTCTCTGTAAACACAGACATCTGAAAAATTCAATAATCAACGGAGTTTAAGACTATGCAAATGAAATATAATTTATTCTGATTTTTGTCACAGATCTATGAAGTCACAACTTTTCCAAAGAAACCACTCGCTGTGTAGATGCAAGAACACATTATCACTTTTCCATCACCTGTCCATGTTGCTGTCAGCTAGATGGAGGTTCAATCATTCACTTTAAATTTGCATTCTCTGAAATCTGAAAGAAAAACAGCATTTATGTCTCAGGTAAGACCTTCCATCTTAAGCTACTGAATTTAATATGAAAAAAAAGAGTTCAAGTGATATGCCTATAGCATTATCTGGCCCTCCATCACCAGTTATAAATTCATGCCAGCACAGAGTCCAAAGCTCCTGAACACCTGTGAAAACTTAAAACTGAAGAGCCAGAAAGACTGAACAGCATTGGGAGGGAGGTGAGAGGTGAGAGACATTCTGAGATGTGTGAGCCTAACTCAGCAGCCCTGGAGTTCTGTGAGGACACATGTGAACAAGGATGCACAGCACACTGTGAAGAGTCCCTGTGGTCTCCACACAGCACAACAGATGGGGGACACCCTAGACACTGGCAAGGTCATGCATGTGCTATCTACTCTTTTCAGAGTGGCAACAATGAGATGATGTCCATTTCTTTATGTGGCTACAGTGGCTTTCCTTTCCCCAAGGGAGGAAAGCAGGCTGTTTGCTGAAATGTCAGCTTTCTTTAGCATCCCAATCATTTACTTAGTGTATTAACTCCTACTTCCGTGGGCCTCAGCGCTCCTCTTAAACTCACGTGTGGAGGTAGTTTCTTCCAAGTTCTGATGTAAGTGATAGGAAGGGAGGGACTATCTTTCTTCCCACGTCCCTGAGCACGCAGAGTGAGTACCCGCAGTCATCTGGGACTCAGCTAACAGACCACACTATGTCAGGCCGAGGGCCCAGGGAAGCCATGGTCTGTGAAGAGGCAAAATACCATACGTAACACGGCAAGAAAAGACTGATGTGTTGTCTCTCAGATTGTCATGAGGCAGCCAGGACAGTTAGAAAATGGCAGGATTTTTTTCCCCCAACTGGGTAAAACTGCCCATTCCTTAAGAATAATCTAGCCAACTGACACTTGTAAATGAGCTGATGAAAGTTTAATTAAATATAAAATGTTCTAATGTGTGAACTTATCTACATTTGAAAGTGCAAATACTGTCTTCATGAGGTCTTTGAAAGGTTGGGTGTCTTTCCTAAAAAGTAGTCACTTAGAACCAAACTATAAAAAAGGAACGAGGACTCATCCCTTTTATCCCAGAGTTCAAGGGATAATGATCTCTGGTATCAACACGACTGAAAATAATTCAAGAGTTGTCGGTGACAGCTAAGTCTACTGAAAGGTGTCCTGAGAGCTATTTTGCAAGAGTTCATTATTCAAAATGCCGTTCCAGAAATCTTACCTTCAGAAATCATCCAAGTAGTGAGATAAGCATTACAACCCCCATAAATTGGGTAAACAACAACAATGGAGTGAAAAATGACCACACGTGCCATAAAGCAATATTGAAGCTGAAAAGAACAAAAATAACCAGTTGATGACGATAACACTAATATACGCAAATATATTTTATTCTAGGAGATCTATATTTAAAGAACGTACTTTTTACTCAGTTTGGGAAAGTTCCTCCAGCCAGCAACTTTCTATGTATCATGTTGTTTAGATTTGTGATTTAGCCAACATTGGAAAACTCTGTATACACTTACGAAACTATCACAGTCTCTTCAAAAAGGATTTACAACTGGAATCACTAAAAGTTCCCTAATGGGAGCTGGCATGGCTTAATAGAAACCAAGTCTCTTAAAGTTCAGTGTCTGTAATGGAACACGAATTAAAATGGCTATCATCTACTTGTAAGGAGCCCTGGTGGCAGGGTGGAGCCCTGGTGGCACAATGGTTAAGAGCTACGGCTGCTAACCAAAAGGTTGGCAGTTTGAGTCCACCAGCTGCTCCTTGGAAACCTTATGGGACAGTTCTACTCTGACCTGTAGGGTCGCTATGAGTCGGAATCAACTTGACAGCAACAAGTTTGGTTTTGGTTGGGTGGTGGCACAATGGTTAAGTGCTCGGCTGCTAACCGAAAGGTCGGCAATTCGAACTTACCGGTTGCTCTGCAGGAGAAAGATGTGGCAGCCTAGGAAACCCTATGGGGCAGTTCTACTCTGTCCTATAGGGTCACTATGAGTCAGAATCGACTTGACAGCAACGGGCATAGTCTACTTGTCTACTTTTATGATCTCATATACCGAAGTACCATGGTAAATAAAAAAAAAAAGATGAAAGTATTTTCTCTTAGTAACAGAAATAATCATCTCTAAGTGGCTGTCATGGATTGAACTGTGCCCCCAAAAGTATCTGTCAACTTGGCTAGGTCATGATTCCCAGTATTGTATGACTGTCTACCATTTTGTCATCTGATGTGATTTCTCTATGTGTTGTAAATCCTATCACTATGATGTAATGAGATGGATTAGTGGCAGTTATATCGGAAATCTACAAGACTAGATAATGTCTTTAGCCAACCTCTTTTGAGATACAAAAGAGAAAAGCGAGCAGAGAGACAGGGGGACTGCATACTACCAACAAGCAGTGCCAGGAGCAGAGCGCGTCCTTTGGGCCTGAGGTTCCTGCGCTGAGATGCTCCCAGACCAAGGGAAGACTGATGACAAGGACCTTCCTCCAGAGCTGAGGGAGAGAGAAAGCCATCCTCCAGAGTCAGTGCCCTGAATTCGGACTTCTAGCCTACTGGACTGTGAGAGAAGAAATTTCTCTTTGCTAAAGCCATCCACTTGCGGTATTTCTGTTATAGCAACACTAGATAACTAAGACAGTGGCTTTAAATTTTCTATTGAGAAAAACCTTATTCCTGTCCCCCAAAAAAGACTAAAATACTTTCTAAATGCAGATGCTTTTTAATGGCTGAATTTGTTAAGAGTCAAAATCAAGGGAAAATTATGAATAGTTTCAAATCAGTTTTTGGGTAGTTATTGATTTTAATATGTAATCTATTGATAAGTATAAATTTTAAATAGCTATAATCCTACTGTTCTGAAAAATAAAATGACATTTCTGGGTATGATCTTAGCCTCATGAGAAAAAGAAAAATAACATACTTGTTTACCTATATCACTGAAGGGTTAATAATAACCACAAATCAGAATGTAACTTATGTCAAATATCCTTAAACTTCAACTAGAGAAAATAAATCAGAAAACATACATTTAAACGAAATAATGTGCAAAGGTGTGTGGTTGTTCCAAAATCAAAATTCAATTTAACACAGAGAAAGAAAAACACTGAAGAACTACATACAATGTGTGGCTCGTTTTCTCTCTGGTTGGCAGGATCATGAAATTTACTTCCTTTGTGTCTTTCTGAAAAGATTTTTCTTCCTGAACAAGTATTACTTCTATAAACAGAAAATAAAGCTTGTTTTTTCCACTGAGTACCTACTACCTTGTGAAGAATGATATTCACTGTGGCACTGTTTGCAAAAGAATAAAAACAATGTAAGTCCAACAACAAGGAGCTGGTTAAAAATTGCTATGTCCATGCAGAGAAAAGTACGTAACTATTAAAAAAGAATGAGGCACATCTGCATGTTCCAGTGTGGAAGAACTCCTAACTATCTGGTTCCAGTTAAAAAAAAGATGAACCACCACTTTGGTGAAGTTCGGCATTATGTACTGAAGTTGGATGCATACATACCCTCTGAGCCAACAATGTCCCACATATATATGTGAGCTGTATGTGTATCTATATCTCCATGCAACAGAAATGTGTGTACATGTCCTATAAGAGACATGTAGGAGAACTTCTTAATAGCATCATTTAAATAAATTGGAAACTACCCAAATTGAATCAACAGAACAGATACATTAATTGGGATACATGTATACAATGGAATGCCAAACAGAAATGAAAATGAACAATTGCTATACATAACAATGTGGGTGAGTCATACAGACTTAATATTGCATGCAGGCAGTCAAATATAAAAGAATACATACTATATGAATGCATTTGTGTAGAGTTAAAAAAAACAGCAAAATAAAAGTAGATGCCTACTTAGATGGTAACATTATAAGAAAAATAGAAAGTACCATGAAGGTGGGGACAGTGTTTACCTTTGGACAGAAGGAAGGTATAGTGATTGGGAGGGGGCATGGAGGGGGCTTCTGGGATCCTGGCACGGTTCTTTCTTGCCTGGGTGGGGTTTACACCAATGTTCATTGTGTGATAATTCACTTAGATGTAGGTTTTAATTTTGTCCACTAATTACGAAAAAGATTTAAAAAACAAAATGCAAAATACATATAGAATGTCACCATTTGTGTCGTACACAACTAAATACATAAAAAAATAGAGAGCGGTACTACTGAAAAGGGAACTAGGGCAATTGGAATGACAGGGAGACTACTTTTCTGTTACATCTTTTTATTCTTTTGAATTTTGTGCCATGTACATCATTGTTGTTGTTGCTAGGTGCTGTCAAGTCGATTCCGACTCATAGCGACCCTATTTACAACAGAATGAAACACTGCCCGGTCCTGTATCATGTTTACAACTGTTGCTATGTACATCATTACCTGATCAAAAAATCAAAAAATATATAAACATATGTTTTAATTCCTCTTAGTCGTTTCAAAATCAACTCACCAAATTCCCGCTGCGATAAAAGTTGCAGTTGTAATGGGGATCAACGAGGGGTGCTTGGCATCATAATCCTCAACTCCGCAATACCACTCCAGGTAGATTATACAGTAAAATGCAACCGATAAGCTGACAAGCAACAAGGCACCACCAAAGAGAAACCAACTGTGGAGATAAAAGTAGTACCATGGTTGGCAGCATTTTGCAAATCAGCAGGTATCTTAAACATTATCATAGATAACCTTAAAAATCAAGTCAAACAAGCAAAAAAAAAAAGGGTCAAGAAGCAAGAAGGGAGAGGGTTGACATGTCATGGGGTTGTTAACCAATATCATAAAACAATATGTGTACTACTGTTTCATGAGAATCTATTTGTTCTGTAAGCCTTCACCTGAAGTACAATTAAAAAAAATAATAACAATTAAAAAAAAAAAAGATTACAGCCTAAAAAAAAAGAAAAAAAAAAATCAAGTCAATTTCTAAGAGGAATGTCAGCAGGGGCAGGAGGAAGGGACCACACACCACAGTCCAGCTTTCAGGAAGACTGGATTTAGTGAGCGGTGGATCAAGACAAGATGACATGAGACACAAGAAAGGATTAAGAAGTGAGACTTTAAACGCAGGCATTCATGTGTGCTTTCATAAACCAACCAACCAAGGATTAACTCTGGGTACAGCAATGCATTTTCTTTAACAATACAGGAAAGACAGCAGCCTTCTGGTTGTTTAAGAAATTGTGTGGAAGTCATGAAAAAGATTCTCAACAGGTACCATTAACTCCTCCAAGTTGAGGGTTGCTTGGGATACTAAAAATCAATTTGGAAGATAGTTGTCTTAGGCTGGGTTCTCTACAGAAGCAAAACCAGTAAAACGTATAAATACAGATAGAAAGAAATTTATATCAAAGAAACAGCTCACACGATTGTAGAGGCTGGAACATCCGAAGTCCATGGATTAGGATAGAGGCTACTCCCGATTCATGTAGCCACAGGGGCTGGCGAACCCAAGATCAGCAGGTTGGAAAGCAGGGCTCCGCTCACAGGCTGTGAAGATCCACAGCAGATAAGCTGCTAGCTCAAGTAGCAAGAACCGGAAGTCAGACGAAAAGGAGGCAGCCACACTACCCAGAGTGCGCAAAAAGCCAGAACATCTACTTATATTCAGATGCAGGCCACACCCCCAAGGAAACTCCCTTTCAACTGATTGGCTACTCATAGCATACTCAATCACGGGAGTGATCACATATAAACACTGAGAATCATGGCCCAGCCAAGTTGACACACAATCTTAACCATCACAGTAGTTAATTCCAATTCTTCCTCATCAAAGATTTTGAGCTGACACCCTCCCATTTTTCAGAACAACTCCAATCCTCCCTCAGAGCAATGCCTTTCCCTCTCTTTCAATTCCACTAAGACCTGATTTGGAAACCCTGGTGGTATAGTGGTTAAAAGCTACGGCTGTTAACCAAAAGGTCAATAGTTCAAATCCACCAGGCACTCCTTGGAAACCCTATGGGACAGTTCTACTCTGTCCTATAGGGTCACTGTAAGTTGGAATCAACCCGATGGCAGCGGGTTTGGTTTGGTTTTTCGACAGACCTGATTTAGTCTGTGTGAGGCAGCCTCCTCAGCCCTTCCTCCCAGTCCCTACTGGTTAGGAGGGGCCAGGCTTGGGGATTGAAGTCCCTTTCCTGTTCTCCCAACTCAACCCAATAACCTCATTATCTTCTGCTCCTCCATGGGGAGAAGTAAGACTAGCATTCCATGTAGGGGAGAAGGGGAAAGCAGAGGGCCAGAAGAGTTAAACTGCACAGGCAGTGGCAGTGAGATGACTTTTTAAAAAATGGCAATGTTTCCAATTCCCTGAAAAACTTTTACTCTGATGCAATTCTGGGATTCAGAATTATTAGAGGTGGTACAGGGCAGTGGCTAAGGGCATGGATTCGGAAATCTCTGTCTGGGTTTGAATCTCAGCTCCATCACGAGTAGCTTTGTGACTCTAGGCAAATTATTTAACCTTGTTGTGCTTCGGAAATATTACCTAACTCATAGAACAGCCGTGAGAATTAAAGTACCTGGGGAAGTGCTTCTCACACAGCTAAGTCCTCAATACCTGTCACTATTATTCCACTGGTGCCATCTATGAGAAAAACACTTCCATGTTCCTCTATGGAAAGAGTCTTCCAAGACCTCTCTTCTGCTACAGCATGGACTCTCAGAGGAGGTAATATTACTCCCAACGTGAAAAGAAAATTTTCTTTTTTACCTGTAAAGCACAGGTATACATACAGTACATAAGTGGATATACATAGTTTATCCGTGGTACTGAAATTTTGTTGGGCGGGGGAGGAGTGATTGGGAATAAAAAAGGCTCTTTAGAGAAGTGGCAGTAAAGAAAGGTTGAGGAATGCTGTGCTGGAGCTGTGGTGATCTCCTGGCTTCATCAGAATCCTTCCTTTTATTCACTTCAGTTATCTTCACATGCATTCCTGGGTTGGCTACTCTGACCAGATATGGTAAAGGATATTAAAAAAATTGGAAAAATCACCTGAACAAAATATAATACTGCAGGTCAGTGGTCCTCAAACTTGGCTATGTATCAGTTACCTCTGCAACATTTTTAAAAAGAAGCTACCTTGCTTCATGAACAAATAATGCGAGAAGATAGACTATATGAAGAATAATGCAGCATCAGGATTGAAGGATGACTCACTAACAACCTGCGATACGCAGATGACAACCCTGTTTGCCAAAAATGAAGATGAGCTGAAGCACTTACTGATGGAGGTCAAAGACTACAGTCTTCAGTATGGATTATGCCTGAACATAAAGAAAACAAATATCCTCACAACTGCACCAACAAACAACATCATGATAAATGGATAAAAAGTTGAAATTCTCACCAATTTCATTCTACTTGGATCAACAGTCAACATCCATGGAAGCAGGAGTCAAGAAATCAAATGACAGATTGCACTGGGCAAATCTGCTGCAAAAGACCTTTTTAAAGTTTTCAAAAGCAAAGATGTTACTTTGATGACTAAAGTGTGTCTGACCCAAGCCATGGTGTTTTCAATCGCCTCATATGCATGCGAAAGTTGGACAATGAATAAGGAAGACCGAAGAACCGAGGCATTTGAATTATGGTGCTGGCAAAGAACACTGAATATACTACAGAATGGCAAAAGAACAAATCAGTCTTAGAAGAAATACAGCCAGAATGCTCCTTAGAAGCAAGGATAGTGAGACTTTGCCTTACTTACTTTGGACACATCATCAGGAAAGACCAATCACTAGAAAAAGATATCATGTTTGGTAAAGCAGAGGGTGAACAAAAATGAGGAGACCCTCAATGACACTGATTGTACAATAGCCACAACAATAGACTCAAACATACCAACGATCATGAAGATGGCACAGGACCAGACAACATTTCACTATGTTATACATAAGAGAAAAAGCAGAAGACCCTCAACGGATGGACTGACACAGTGGCTGCAACAATGGGCTCACGCATAACAAGGATTGTGATGATGGTGCAGGACCAGGCATTCTGTTGTATGTAGGGTTGCTATGAGTCGGAAGCGACTTGAAGGCACCTAACAACAACAACATACATAAGGTCACCTTGTTAGCTGTAATGACTCTCTGAAAACAAACTGAGACCCCATTCTCACCTACCACGTTCTCATTCCCTTCTCCCACTACATCTGCACTTCTTCATAAAGACCTGCAGTCAGAGTCTTCATGCCTCCATTTTTTCCAACTGGACAGGACCTTCCAAATTTCATTACCTTCCCCATCCTACAACACATCTGTGCTGAAAAGGCATGTGGAAAATGATACTTCCTAACCTCATCCACTCTGCTTAAGTGTCCAGGGCATGTACTTTCTCACTAATCCTTATATCAACAGCACCTCCAACAGAGAGGGAGTGCTTACTAAGAGTTTGAAGAATTCTACTGACAAAATATAACATGAAAAACAAGACAAGGGTGTTTAACTTATGAAGCAATAAAGCTCTCTTACCTACTAGTGTGAATGTTTTCTTTAATGGTTTTAAAGAAATCAACATAATATGTCACAGCAATGGATGTCAAAATCCAGAATCCAGAATGGATATTAAGTCTTGGAAGAGGTTTCTCCTTTTTCTCAACAGCTGTAGAGGTTTCTGGAAATAAGGGAAATTTCAATTATCAGTAAATTCATGAGGAAAAAGCACACCTATTTTTAAGAAAATAAAATGGTGATTTTCTAGAGCTTTCTAAAAACTGGATTCTCTCCCATCGTATCACTTATTTCTTATGAAAAACCATCAAGATAGGTTTATATTTGCAGAAACAATAAATAGGAGCCTGCTATAATGTGAAGGTCCCTGGGTATAGGGTCGCTGTGAGTCACAATCAACTCTATGGCAATGGGTTTGGTTTTTTGTTTGGGGGGGGGGATGGCACAAATGGTTTGCACTTGACCACTAACCAAAAAGTTGGCAGTTCAAACCCACCCAGTGGCAATAAAATATGCTCAATAATCAACTTATTTCCTCTAAAAACACTTTTAAATCAAATTCACATATTCAGTTATTCTGAAGGAAGGATGCCCCTGGTAATGTAGGAATTTTAATATTATGTATCACATTTCATCTAAGAAGGTAATTGTTCTGTGCTGTTGAGTTGATTCCAACTCATAGTGACCCTAGACGACAGAGCCGAACTGCCCCACAGGGTTTCTTAGGCTGTAATCTTTACGATAGCAGACTGCCAGGTCTTATCTCCCTCCGATGGAGCGGCTGGTGGGTTTGAACAACCAAGCTTTCAGTTAGTGGTCAAGCACTTAACCACTGTGACACCAGGTCTCCTTAAGAAATCTTCCTGATTAAGAAAAATGCAAAAGACAAACAGAGCACACAATGAACTTGCAGTCTAATAAGAGCGCTTCTTATAAACTAAATGTCTTATTTATTTTAAATAAACACACAAATGGAAAGGGCACACTGGACAGCTAATCAGGCACTAGAGTTCTAGTCCTAGCACAGCCCTGTCTAGATAGGCAATGGACAAGTCTTTTCTTCCATTTGGAACCAGATCTGAAAGAACGGGTCAGATGTGTTACTTCTAACAAGTTCCCCAGGTGATTCTGACATCTCCTCTCTCTCAGTTCATGTGAGAACCAGTGGCCTAGGTCTGAGGTTCTCTGCCCTTAGCTGCACATCACAATCTCTGGGGAATTTGTCAGTAATTCAGAGGACACACTCAAAATTGACAAACTACCATGCGTAGACACGTTGTTGATTTTGAAAAAGTAATCAATTCACATGGTTTACTACATACAGAACAAAAGTATCTAAAATGAAGTCTCTACTTCTCATCTTTAACCGCAACTCCCCTGTCCAAAAGCAACCACCAATCCAATTTTTGCTCAATTTTTCCGGAGGTATTCTACGCATCTACAGGTTAACACACAACACAGGTTATCTGGTTTGTACCCAAATGGTAGTATAACAGACATTATTCTGCACCTTCTATTGAAAATCTTCCACACTGGTACACAAAGTCGGCCTGGTGTCCCACGTATGGAAATATCCAAATTTATTTAACCAACTCTCTGCTAACAAGCAATTAGATATTTCCAGTCGTTTGCCACTACAAAAAAATGCCGAGGTGAAACAGTTTGCACATACGACATCGTGTACTTGTACAAGAATGTCCCTCCGGTAAGTTCTTAGTAGAACTGGTGGGTATGTTTCATTTTAACGAATACTACCAAACACCGGGCATAAATATTTTAAACCAGTTCTCCAGCGAATTCTGCAGGCAGCTGAGATGCAGATTCGTGGGGCTACGTGATCTCTAAGGACCTTTTACGACACCAGATACTCGAGTTTTTCAAAAACTACTTGGTAAGCACCACAGCCTCGGAAATCGAAACCCGGAGACTCCGCACCGGGCCGGACAACGGGAGGCCTACATGGCCGGCAGTTTCCAAGCGCCTCGACTCCGGAAACCTCGGAGCACACCCCGGGGAGAGCGCCTCACCCGCGCCGGGGCCGCTCTCGCTGTTCAGCTGGGCCTCAGCGTCCTGCGGAAACAGGTATCGCCGCCGGAGCTGCTCCCGGGCCCGCAGAGCGTCCATCTTGGCACCGCCCCGAAACGAGACGGAAGTGACGTCAATACTAGCGCTTCCAGCGTCAGCTCCCGGCTTCTCCCCACACCAGAGGGTCGGGGTAGAGACTACAGTTTCTTCGCGCTTTTAGTTAAGTGAGACCCTAGGATGGAGTTAGCGTTGCGGCTTCCGCGCTGGAATCTGCAAACATGATTGGCATTTCCAATACTGATCCTCTGCTGGCCGCAGAGCTCCCAGCTTTACTCCGAGCCACGTAAGCCCAAAAGGACCAAAATGACTGATACCGCTGAGTTCGCGATGGGAAGGGATGCTTGGTTCTGAGATATTTTGTTCACTTTGCTCTCTGCTTCCCGAGCCTTCGCTTGCTCTCCCGTGGTCAAAGCATAAGAAATACCCTCTGTCAGGCCTCAACTCTCAGCCCCAGCTTCCTCCCTACTCCTGCTCTTCAGTCGCCCTGTTAGACCTGAAAAGGTTGAAGGCAGCCCCGGGAGGAGGAAAGGAACGCAGAACCGGAGCCTGGGACTTGCAGCTGAGCCTCAGACCTCGGACTTACCACCTGATGACCTCGGGCAAGAAGTAAACCACTCTGGGCCTGTTTCCTCTTCTGCACAACGGGGCTAATACCTGCCTCATACCTGCCTCGTTGTGACATTCAATTTGAAGCACCCGGACCGTGTTAGCCCTGGTTTCCCCTCCAGCCACACTCTTCCGGTGGGAATCTGGGCGCTAAATTAGTTACCTAGCATACTGTCATTTCCCACCGCTCACGCCCATAAACCAAAAAATGTCTTCTCTGTGTCACTACTTCACAATTTTTTCTCCATCAAGAATTCTGTTACTCATACCCTGCTCCAACGATGTCATGTGCTGAGAAATTTTGTGTGCTTATCCTACACTAACTGAAAGGTTGGAAGTTCAAGTCCACCCAGAGGTGCCTTGGAAGGAAGTCCTGGTGATACACTTCTGAAATACCACAGCCATTGAAAACCCTATGAAGCACAGTTCTTCTCTGACACACATGGCATTTGCCATGAGTTGAACTGGACTCCACCCAGCCGGTTAGGGTAACCATGCTATAAATGTTTACTGAGAACCTCTTTGTTAGGAACTGTTAGGCACCATGCTAAGTAGTGAAGGTAGAGATGAGCAGGACATTGACCATGCACTTGACCTCCTGGTCCATGGATGACCACAGAGATATGCAACGATATAGCACAGCATTTGTAAAGGTAGGAAAGCGTTTCTTTAATTTAGTCGACAAACATTTTCTGAGCAGCTACATGTGCTAAAGTGTTGAGGACAATCTAGTGGAGAAGACTATTTCAATACAGTGCCATAACAGAAATATCCTACATGGGGTTATGGGGGACACCCAGTTTATTCTGGTAGGGTGTTCGCAGAGCAGGGAGGAACACTGGGGTGGGTTGAATACAGGGATGGATAGCCCAGAAAACCACACAGAAGTGCATTTTGAATTGGTTAGTAGGCAATCTTTAATATCTTCTATATGGAGGAGCCCTGGTGGCGCAGTGGTTACGAGTTCAGTGGCTAACCAAAAGGTCCGCTCCTTGGAAACTCTATGGGGCAGTTCTACTATGTCCTATAGGGTTGCTATGAATTGGAATCAACTCGACTCGACAGGTTTTTTGGTTTTATATGTTGTGGAGGAGTCCCTGAGTGGTGCAAATGGTTAACAACTCAGCTGATAAACTGAAGGTTGGAGGTCCAAGTCCACCCAGAGCACCTAGAAAGAAAGGCCTGGTGATCTACTTCCAAAAAACAAGTCATTGAATACCTTGTGCAGCCCAGTTCTACTCTGACACATAAGGGGTTACCACGAGTAAGAATCGACTCCATGGCAACTGGTTTAACTGTATATGTCGTGGATATTTGTAACATGAACGTAATAAAAAATATTCAAGAAAAGAATTACTGGTTTACTTCAGTTACTTCTTCAGTCCTTTTAGCAACACCCTTTGGAGTACAGGATTTAATAGCTGTTTGGATCATATGGCCTTTCTAGACAATACCTTCCTTTGCTGTTTTGTTTTTTCTTTTCAGCATCCTAAAGAACAGGGATTCATCTCTTCAAAGCCAGCTGGTGTCTTTGCCCTCCCTTCTCTCTTGTAAAGGGCTAGAAGCCTTGCTATCAGGAAGTGAATTCCTCCTATCAAATACAGTCTTCTATTGACTGTCTCTGCAGAAAGGTCAGTGCTAGGTCTTCCTTGTAACTGAATATTCCCAAGAGCACTGGCTGCAATTCCAGAGTTCTCATATATAGTATGTGTAGGTCAGATCGGGTTTCTCTGTCCAGTTGTTTCAGGGTCCTCGTATTTGGATCTGAAATCCTTCTAGCCTTTTTCCCCCTGATATTGTAAATGGCACTATTTGCACAACCTATTAAAAGGAGGTTGGAAGAAATGCAGTATTTAATGACCACATCTTCAGTTATTGGAGTCCATTAAACAAGTTCTTCAGTGTTGTACTGTGCATCTTAATTGTAGATATTTGATATCCGATTACTCCCCACCAAGAAATTTTCATTTTCAATGTGGATTTTTTTTTGGGGGGGGGGGTTGATGAATTTGACTATGACCTTTGCTGGCCTCCCCATAGCAACGTGGTTAAGTCCAACGCGTTTATAGACCACTTACTAGCAGTTAGACAAGTTATTTCATCATTCTAAGCATCAGTTTCCTCATCTGAGAAATAACAGTCCCCAGTGTGAAGATGTGGGTGCTGTGGTGGTTCAGTGGTGGAATTCACACCATCCACGTGAGAGACCCAGGTTCAATTCCCAACCAATACACATCATATGCAGCCACCAGCCAGTGGAGGCTTGTGTGGTGCTGTGATGCTAAGCAGGTTTCAGCGCAGCTTCCGGAGTAAGACAAACTAGGAAGAAAGGCCTGACAATATACTTGCTGAAAATCAGCCAGTGAAAACCCTATAGATCACAACAGTGTGGTCTGCAACTGATCATGGGGATGGCACAGGACCAGGTAGTGTTTTGCTTCCTTGTGCATGGGGTTGCCATGAGTTGGGGGCCCAACAATAACAGAGTGAAGATACTAAACAAAAAAAAAAAAGCCAAACCCTTTGCTGTTGAGTCAATTCTGGCACATAGTGACCCTATAGGACTGAGCAGAATTGCCCCATAGGGTTTCCAAGGAGCAGCTGGTGGATTTGAACTGCTGACCTTTTGGTTAGCAGCCGTAACTCTGCACCGCTGTGCCACCAAGGCTCCAGAGTGAGGATAAATACAAATTGCTTAGTGCAGTGCCTGCCCTATAGTATACATTCACTCAATGGTAGTTGTTATTTGCTATGCCTTAATTTGGCTTGCCAGGTCTTCAAGATCAGCTTCCTGCTCACCTCTTGTTCAGTTATTCCCTTCTCCCTGGGCTCCAGCTACACTTGGTTCATGTCCCTCTTCCAGTAATTATCACTCTGCCTACTATTGTGGGGATGGCCCAGAACCTGGCAATATTTCATTCTATCATATACGGGGTCACTATGAGTTGGAGCAAACTTGACGGCACCTAACAACAATGCAAGTTTCCTTTTGTCTCTGCGTTCTCCACTGATTGAGGGGACCAAGGACCAAACGTGTCTTAGTGTCTTCTCAAACCAAAAAACCCGTTGCCGTTGAGTCGATTGCGACTCGTAGCAACCTATAGGACAGAGTAGAACTTCCCCGTAGGGTTTCCAAGGAGTGGCTGGTGGATTCAAACTGTCAACTTTTTGGTTAGCACTCATAGCTCTTAACCACTGCACCACTAAGGCTCCAGTGTCTTCTTGGTGCCCTGCAAACCACGTGGCACGTAGCAAGAACTCCACCACCCACTTTCGTTTTGGCTCTTGGTCACAGTTAACAACAGTCTTCCTTTTGGACATCCATTGGCCTGCCTAGCATCCCTTTCTCTGAGAAACCTCTTTTCCTCCTTTCTGTCTGCGGCTAAGCATAGTACCTACTTCATGGGATGGGGTAAGAATTAAAAGTATTAATACATGTAAAATGCTTAAAACAGTGCCTTGCCCACGTTATTGTTGTTGGGTGCCATCTGGTTGATTCTGACTCATAGCGACCCCATGTGACTGAGTAGAACAGCCCCACAGGGTTTTCTAGGTTGTAATCTTTACAGAAGCAGATTACCAAGTCTTTCTCCCACAGAGCCAGTGGGTGGGTTCGAACCAACAACCTCTCGGTTAGCACCAGGTGCTTAACTTTGTACCACCAGGGCTCCTTGCCTGCCCATAGAACACTGTTAATTAATGTTAGCTGTTGTTATTACCCATTGTTGAGTTTTCAGATTTCTGAGCCCTCCCCAACAACAACAACAACAAAAAATCCATTTTGTTTTTAAACTAATGCTAATTTGAGTGGTTTATGTTACTTTCGATCACAAAACCAGACCAATACAATCCTGTTCTCTCAGTGTGCTTTGTGGCTACCCTGCTGGTCTCCAGCTGGACTGAGGACTCCAGGAAGGGAGGCTTGGTCTCATAGTGCCACAGATGCATCGCAACATTGGGTGTGGTACGTGTTTAGTCAATAGCAATTATTTGAATTGTATTATCTTTGTGTTTTAAAGCTAGCTTCAATTTGAGCTGAAATTTGGAAATCCCCACTTTTTGTAATGAACCAGTGTTTGGTATCTGGTATTTAGTTATTGATTAAAAAAACAAACAAACAAAAACCAAACCCATTGCAGTCTAGTCAGCTCCAACCCTATAGGACAGAGTAGCACTGCCCATAAGTTTCCAAGGCTGTAAATCTTTACAGAAGCAGACTGCTACATCTTTCTCCTGTGGAGCTGCTAGTGGGTTTTAACTGCCGACCTTGTGGTCAGCAGCTGTCTTAATTATCTAGTGCTGCTATAACAGAAGTACCACAAGAGGATGGCTTTAACAAACAGAAGTTTATTCTCTTACAGTTTAGGAGGCTAGAAGTCCGAATTCAGGGTGCCAGCTCCAGGGGAAGGCTTTCTCTCTCTGTCATTTCTGGGGATAGGTCCTTGTCATCAATCTTCTCCTGGT